TTTTTTTTGTATTTTTGGTAGAGATGGGGTTTCACCATGTTGGCCAGTATGGTCTCGATATTCTGACCTCGTGAGCCACCCACCTCGGCCTTCCAAAGTGCTGGGATTACAGGCGTGAGCCACCGCGCCCGATCGATGATTGTTTTTAAACTGCTTTAAGTCCAGTTAGTAAATCGGAAAAAGCGATGTGTATTTCTATCATTAAAAGTGGGTCGTGGCTGGGCGCGGTATCTCACACCTGTAATCCCAGCACTTTGGGAGGCCTAGGCGGGCGGATCATCTGAGGTCAGGAGTCCGAGACCAGCCTGACCAACGTGGAGAAACCCCGTTTGTAGTAAAAATACAAAATGAGCCGGGCGTGGTGACGCACGCCTGTGATCCCATCATCTCCTGAGGCTGAGGCAGGAGAATCGCTTGAACCTGGGAGGCGGAGGTTGCTGTGAGCAGAGATCGCGCCATTGCACTCCAGCCTGGGCAACAAGAGCGAAACTCCATCTCAAAAAAGAAAAAAAGTGGGTCGCATGAAATGTTGCTAATCTTAGTCTTTCAAGGGGCATGTTAGTGTCTTCTAGGAAGGGTTTTTTTTTTGTTTTATAGAAATGGTGGAGGGCCTCATTTTGTTGTCCAGACTGATCTCTGGTCTCAAGCTGTCCTCCTGCCTCAGCCTGTTGAGTAGCTGGAATTACAGGCACTGCATCCTAAGGAAGGATTTTGAGGGAGCAAACATCCCCAAAATATCTACCATCTGGGTGTCTGCCACACAGTGTATAATCTCTACTCTTGGGGAATGAAAACAAAACAGCATACAATAAATAATAGGATAAATATAATTCGTTGCCTTTTTTTCAGTCACAAGACCATCTGCAGCCTCTTAAAGTCTTTTATGAACTGTCTCTAGAAAAATGTACCTTTAGGCCGGGCGCGGTGGCTCAAGCCTGTAATCCCAGCACTTTGGGAGGCCGAGATGGGCGGATCACGAGGTCAGGAGATCGAGACCATTCTGGCTAACACAGTGAAACCCCGTCTCTACTAAAAATACAAAAACTTAGCCGGGCGAGGTGGCGGGCGCCTGTAGTCCCAGCTACTCGGGAGGCTGAGGCAGGAGAATGGCGTAAACCCGGAAGGCGGAGCTTGCAGTGAGCTGAGATCCGGCCACTGCACTCCAGCCTGGGTGACAGAGCGAGACTCCGTCTCAAAAAACAAAAAAAAAAAAAAAAAAAAAGAAAGAAAAATGTACCTTTAGATAAAATTTACATACAATATTAGGAGTTAACAGAAATCTATTTCTGAATCCTAGTTAACAACCTTAGTCTACACAATAAATGCTAGACCCTTGAAGAAAGACTAGGTGAAAAACTATGAACCAAAATTTTTTTTTTTTTCCCCAGACGGAGTTTTGCTCTTGTTTCCCAAGCTGGAGTGCAATGGTACGATCTCAGCTGACTGCAACCTCCGCCTCCTAGATTCAAGCGATTCTCTTGCCTCAGCCTCCCATGTAGCTGTTACCACAGGCACCATCCACCACACCTGGCTAAATTCTTGTATTTTTGGTAGAGATGGGGTTTCACCATGTTGGCCGGGCTGGTCTTGAACTCTTGACCTCAGGTGATCCACATGCCTTGGCCTCCTAAAGTGCTGGGATTACAGGCAGGAGCCCTGGCTTGAACCAAATCTGAAAGGTCAGGTGGGATTTAAATGAGGGAGAAAGTAGGAATATGTTGGGGAATAAAGCACATGATAGTTTGACCTGAAGAGGCCCCCTCTTGAGAGTGACAGGAAATGAGAATGGGGGAAGTCGGATTATAAAAGAACTCTCCCTTGTGTTCACAGTGCCAGACACCTTGTGAAAGCATAATAAATATTGAATGAATACCAAGGGAAGGGATTAAAACTTTGTTCCTTTGCCATTAAAGCAGCACTGATGGTCTGAAGTTGAAGAATAAGGATGTGATTTAGTTCTGTAAGTCATTCTGTGAATGCCAGGCCCATAGTAAGCATTCAACAAGTATTTGTTGAATGGAAGAAAATTGAATAAATTTTTGAGCCAGTGAATATGAACATTTTTAAGGCTCTTGGTATACATTGGCAAATGACTTCTAGGAAGGTTAAAACAGTCTAACCTTTTACTAACAGTATATAAAGAATGTGTGTGTTGGCTGGGTACAGTGCCTCATACCTGTAATCCCAACACTTCGGGAGACTGAGGTGGGCGGATCACTTGAGGTCAAGAGTTCGAGACCAGCCTGGCCAACATGGTAAAACTCTTTCTTTACAAAAAAATACAAAAAGTAGCTGGGCATGGTAATGCATGCCTGTAATCCCAGTTACTCGGGAGGCTGAGGCAGGAGAATTGCTTGAACCTGGGAGGCAGAGGTTGCAGTGAGCTGAGATTGCACCACTGCACTCCAGCCTGGGTGACAGAGCAAGGTTCTGTCTCAAAAAAAAAAAAAAAAACTTGGAAATTTTACTTTTGTATTGGCTGCTCAAGGCCGGTTTATCAGGCTGGATCCTATTTGAAGCTGGGAAGAATGGGAAGAAAACAGACACTGCTATCAGAGCAGCCTTAACTTATACCATTGCTTATCTTCCTTCTCATCTCTTCAGGGTAGAGACCGTCTTTATTATCCTATCCCAGTGTCAGACATAGATCCTGGAACTCAACTGAAAGGTGTAGTTAGGGAAAGGGAAAGTTGCTCTTTTTTATAAGATTGAGAATCTTCCTTCAGTGGCATCCATGAAGGAAGGATGGATGGATGGATGGTTGGATGCATAGATGCATACATAGATGCATGGATGGATGGATGGATGGATTAATAAATGTTTAAAATCATTCTTTCAGTCATCCAGTCACAAAATTTGGGGGGAAAAAAGGAATGTGTGTGTTGCCGTATCTTCGGAGTTAAATTTAGTCTTGGAAAATATATAGTTATATGTGATGGGGATGTGTTCTGAGAAATGCATCCCTAAGTGATTTTATCATGAATGAACATCATAGAGCATACTTACACAAAACTAAGTGATATAACTTACCATACACCTGGGCTATACAGTATAGCCTGTTGCTCTTAGTTTGCAAACCCACACAGCATGTTAATTTAGTGAATACTGCAGGCAGTTTTAACACAGTAGTATTTGTGGAAGTAAAAAATCTAAACATAGAAGAGGTACAGTAAAAATAGTGTTACGGGTGTAATCTTGTGGTACCGCTATTGTATATGCAGTCTCATTCATTGATTAAAACATCATGCAGTACATGACTATTAATCTAGTGAGTCCCTGGAATTCATTCAGATAAACAAATAGTTTATCTTCCTAAGTTTTCATTATGAAGTGACTTCTTTGAGTCTAATGCACCAATGCACTGGTGTTGATTTTAGGATTTCTGGAAAAGATTTCTTACTTTTTATTACTTTAATTTTTGTGGTAATACTTGTATTTAAGCAAAATTTAAAAGCACCAAACACTTATTCAATGAAAAATAAGCCTCCCATTCCTGTTCCCAAACTTACAGTTTCTTTCCTTGGAGGTAGTTATTGGAACCATTTTCTTTCTTATGTGTCCTTTAAGGTGTAGTTTTTCTTTTTCTTTTTTTCTCTTTTGAGACGGAGTCTCACTCTGTCACCCAGGCTGGAGTGTAGTGGCGCGATCTTGGCTCACTACAGCCTCCGCCTTCCAAGTTCAAGGGATTCTTCTGCCTCAGCTTCTCAAGTAACTGGGATTACGGGCACCCACCACCATGCCCGGCTAATTTTTTTTTTTTTCTTTTTTTTTTTAATGAGACAGAATTTCACTCTTGTGGCCCAAGCTGGAGTGCAATGGCGTGATCTCGGCTCACTGCAACCTCCGCCTCCCAGGTTCAAGCAATTCTGCTTCAGCCTCCCGAGTACCTGGGATTACAGGCATGTGCCACCACGCCTGGCTAATTCTGTATTTTTAGTAGAGATGGCATTTCACCATGTTGGCCAGGCTGGTCTTAAACTCCTGATCTCAGGTGATCAGCCCATCTTGGCCTCCCATAGAGCTGGGAGTACAGATGTGAGCCACTGGGGCTGGCCCAAGTGTAAATTTTCTTGTCTTTAGGCAGCATTTGAAAGTTTTATTTGCCTACCTAGATCTTGCATGTTTCTTGCTAGGTTTATGCCTGAGTGTTATGGGCTAAATTCAGTTCTCCCACAAAATCACATGAATCCCAAATTCCTGTGTTGATATCCTAACCACCAGTACCACAGAATTGAGTATATTTGGAAATAAGACCTTAAAAGAGATAATTGAGTTAAAATTAGTTCATTAGAGTATGCCGTAATCCAAAATAACAGATGTCTTTCTATGAAGAGATTATGACACAGGCACTCAGAGGGAAGACTGTATAAACATCTAAAGATACATGGAGGGCTGGGGCTGGGTGCAGTGGTTCACGCCTGTAATCCCAGCACTTTGGGAGGCCAAGGCGGGTGGATCACGAGGTCAGGAGATCAAGATCATCCTGGCTAACACAGCGAAACCCTATCTCTACTAAAAATACAAAAAAATTAACCAGTGTGGTGGCAGGTGCCTGTAGTTCCAGCTACTCGGGAGGCTGAGGCAGGAGAATGGCATGAACCCAGGAAGTGGAGCTTGCAGTGAGCCAAGATCGTGCCACTGCACTCCAACCTGGGTGACAGAGCGAGACTCCATCTCCAAAAAAAAAAAAAGATACATGGTGGAGGGCTGGCCGTGGTGGCTTATGCCAATTCAATTCCAACACTTGGGAGGCTGAGACAGGAAGATTGAGCCCAGGAGTTTGAGGCCAGCCTGGGCAACACAGTGAGATCCCATCTGTACAAAAAATAAAAAATTAGCCAGGTGTGGTGGTGTATACCAGTAGTTCCAGCTCCTCAGGAGGCTGAGGTGGGAGGATCACTTGAGCCCAGGAGGTTGAGACTGCAGTGAGCTGTGATGGTACCACTACACTCCAGCCTGGGTGATAGAGTGAGGCCTTGTTTTTAAAAAAGAAAAAAAAAAAGACATGGAAAAGGCAACCATGAACGGAAAAGAGACTTCAGAAAAAGCCAACCCTCCCACTTCAACTAGATTATTTTGAAGCAAATCTTAAATATCATATAGTTTTATTTATAAATTATTTAATAAAAGTGTTTTTGTGAATTTAATTATAAAGCATCTTTTTATTTTTGGCAGGACATCTTGGCAGTTAGATCATGGCAACCATAGAAGAAATTGCACATCAAATTATTGAACAACAGATGGGAGAGGTATGTCTAGTTTACAGTTGATGCACTGACCCACCAAACTTTTATAATTCATACTAAATGCATATACCAGGTTCTGGAGTTCCAGAAATAAAAGATATTCCCTAACTTAAGATAGCTTTTCAAGCTATTGAGAGATAGTTGAATAATCAGACATTTCATAGTAGAATGTGGTAAGTTCTGTGACAGGTCATTGTATCAGGTGCAATGGGAGCACAGAAGAAAAACAATTGAAAGGAATGAAGGGAAGGAAGGAAGGAAATTAAAGAGCTGTAGAGTGAGTAGGAATGCTTTTGGAGGGAATGCTTTTTAGAGGGTACAATCTGAGACCAGTTTTGGTGGGAGCAGAAGGAGTTCGGTGTCAATACTGACATCTTCATTTTTTTAAATGGTTACCTCCTAATACTTGGTAATAGATACCAGATAATTTGGAAGTTCTCAAAGTATTATCTGGGGACACTTTCAGAGAATCAACCAGGTGAAGACCATTTTTTTATAATACCAAAATGTTATTTGCCATTTCGGTATTGTTCTCTCCCAGGTATACAGTGGAATTTTCTACAGACTGTGTGACGTGATTATACTGTACGATATAATTTGTCAACATTTATAAGGTGTACATAACTCACTGAATCATTGCTTTCCAGATGACCAGTGTATAATGTTACAAAATTATGCATGAGTGAAGGATCCATTTAAATTGCAGGATAGACCAACAGATTTTAATATAGTTTATGACTCTACCTTGCAGCTAACCTTTGAAAAACTGCCACTTGTTGAGTTGATACAGTATCAAAGAACAACTTTCACAGTTTGAAAAGGGTATTAAAATATCCTTCCCCTTTTCAACCAATAAATATGAAACTGAATTTTCTTTACCATATATATGGTGAAGAAATATATTTCCGGCTGATTTTTTGTGACCATTTTCCGTGCTTACGTACCTGGCTAATGTTTTGTATATTTTATAGCAACAGGGTTTTGCCAGGTTGTCCAGCCTGGTCTGGAACTCCTGACCAGGAGCAGTCCACTCGCCTTAGCCTTCCAAAGTGCTGGGATTACAGGTGTGAGGTACTGTGCCCAGCCTCGTTATAACCAAAACAACATAGTCCAACAGATTAAATGAAGAAACAGATACGAGATTCCAACTTCTGTTAAACCAGACTTTATTAAAGCAATATGTAGGAATGTAAAACAAAGCCATTCTCTCCACTACATTTTTGTTTGTTTGGAAAATAAAGTTTTTAGTCATTAAGAAATAGGTTATAATGGGTACCAAAAAAAATAGGATGAATGAATTAGACCTAGTCTGTGATAGCACAACAGACAGACTATAGTCAATAATTTTTTATTTTTATTTTTTGAGACGGAGTCTCGCTCTGTTGTCCAAGCTGAAGTGCAGTGGCGCTGTCTCGGCTCACTGCAATTCTCCGCCTCCCTGGTTCAATCGATTCTCCTGCCTCAGCCTCCCAAGTCGCTGGGATTACAGGCGCTTGCCACCAAGCCTGGCTAAATTTTGTATTTCTAGTAGAGACGGGGTTTCAGCATGTTGGTCAGGCTGGTCTCGAGCTCCTGACCGCGTGATCCGCCCGCCTCAGCCTCCCAAAGTACTGGAATTATAGGCTTGAGCCCCTGCGCCCAGCCAATAATAATTTAATTATACATTTAAAAATAACTAAAAGAGTATAATTGATTGATTGTAACATACAGGATAAATGCTTGAGGGGATGGATGCCCTATTTTTCCATGCAATTCTTACGTATTGCCTGCCTGTATCAAAACATCTCATGTACCCATGAAAATTAAAAATAAATTTTAAAAAATTATGTTAACATTTAATGGGTTGTTAATTTTTAAATGAATCAACTATTTTTAAAATCTCTCTTTGAATTTCTAACTCACATGCAGAAAACCCCATCCCTACTAAAATACAAAAAATTAGCCAGGTGGGGTGGCCGGTGCCTGTAGTCCCAGCTACTTGGGAGGCTGAAGCAGGAGAATCGCTTGAACCCAGGTTGCAGCGAGCCGAGATGGCACCACTGCACTCCAGCCTGGGCGACAAGAGTGGAACTCTGTCTCAAAAAAAAAAAAACTCTTCGGAACCCTCAGTAATATTTTAGCCTATAAAGTGGTCCTGAAACCTAAGAACTGTTTCCATTATTTACTACTCTTCTCTATTGAAGGCTCTTTGGATTGCCTAAATATTCAATTATTATAATTATTATGCTGCAGTAATGTCCTTTTACTCATTTAAGCAGAATGTTTCAACCCAAGAGCAGTTGGACCATGAATGCGCTAAATGCTCTTCTCTAAGAAATCAGTATGAACTATTAGTCTTTTATCCAATACAACTTGCTTTAGGTAGAAACTGATTAGTGAATCAGAACTTTGTTTTAAATTTTGCATAGAAAAGAATACTGAAATAATTTCAGGAAAATAAAAATAGAAAAAGTTTGGTACAGAAGGAACAGGATTGGAATTTTGGAAAATTAGAAACAAACCGACTTTGCCATTTTAAAATTGAATCAAGGAATTTAATTGGCTTAATGATGTTTACTCTGTAATATATTTGCTGAATAACAGAAACTCTGAATGCTGAAATAGTTCTGTATATTCATGAACTTTTTCCTCCCCCCAGATGGCAGATGGCAGTTCTGTCCTCCCAGTTGCTCAAGCCAAAATTTTATAATCGTCCTTGACTCTTCTTTCTTCATATTCCACTTCAGTCCATTAGCATATTTTGTTACTTTTCTCTTCTTAAAATAAATAAATCCCAATTTAATTGATTTTCACCCCCAGCTTGGCTACTACCCTGTTCCTGGCCAGTATTTCTGCCCATATGTCATAACCACATATTGATGGTATCTGCAATAGTGTCCTTTCTGATCTCCCTTAATTTTACTTCTGAACTTTTTTTTTTGAGACAGACTCTTGCTCTGTCACCCAGGCTGGGGTGCAGTGGTGCGCTCTCGGCTCATTGCAACCTCCTCCTCCCCGGTTCAAGTGATTCTCCTGCCTCAGCTTCCCGAATAGCTGGAGTTACACATGCCACCATGTCCAGCTAATTTATTGTATTTTTAGTAGAGACGGGATTTCACTGTGTTAGCTAGGATGGTCTCAATCTCCTGACCTCATGAGCTGCCTGTCTCGGCCTCCCAAAGTGCTGGGATTACAGGCATGAGCCACTGTGTCCAGTCCTTTTTTTTTTTTGAGGCAGAGTCCTCTGTCTCCCAGGCTGGAGCATAGTGATGTAATCCCAGCTTACTGCAACTTCTGCCTCCAAGGTTCAAGTGATTCTCCTGTCTCAGCCTCCCCAGTTGCTGGGATTACAGGCGCCCATCACCATGCCCAGCTAATTTTTATATTTTAGTAGAGACAGGCTGTCGTTATGTTGGCCAGGCTGGGCTTGAACGCCTGACCTCAAGGGATCCACCTGCCTCAGCCTCCCAAGGTGCTGATTATGGGCGTGAGCCACTGCACCCGGCCTGCACTTGAACATTTGCAATCTGTTCTTCACACTAAATTTAGAATACTTTTTTTATACTTTTTTTTTTTTTTTTTTGAGACAGGGTCTCACAGTGTTGCCCAGTCTGGTCTCGAACTCCTGGCCTCAAGTGATCCTCCTGCCTCAGCCTCTCAAGTAGCTGGGATTATAGTTGCATGTCACTGTGCCTGTCTGATTCCTTTTTAAAAAGTAAAATCCTGTCACTCCTCTGCTCCAAACCCTCTGGTGGCTCTCTATTTCACACAGTAGGAAATCTAGACTTTCGTTTGGCCTATAAAGCCCTCTAAGTCCCAGCTGTCACTCAGATCCCATATTCTAGTGTAATCCCTGTCTTCCCTTCTGTCTTACTCATCATATATCTCTATCGCTGTGCCTTGTGCCTCACATGTGTCAAACACCCTCCCTCCTGCCCTGGGACCTACTTATATGCTCTGTTTCCTCTACCTGGAATGTTCTTCCCCTAGGTAGTCGTAACCCTTGGTCTGTTTCTTCACTCAGGACTGTGCAAAAATGACACCTCCTTAGAGTGAACTTCTCTCGTTGCCCTCATTCTGTTACTGTCTCACCTTACCTTGTTTTTCTTCATAGCACTTAGTACCCCCGACAATATTATTATTTGCTTATTTATTATCTGTCTTTCCCCACTAAAATAAAAGCTTCATGAAGGCAAAAGTTTTGTTTTATTCACTGCTACATCCCAGTATGCAGAACAGCTAATATAAATCACCCAATATATGTTTGTCTAAATGGAACATGGGAGGGAAGGGGAAGGAGGGAATCAAAATAGTGAAGTCAAAATGTTCTTACTATTGTACATTTGTTTGCACATTTGTTTATTTCTGTAGGATAGAATTTTGTGGCAATAGAATTGGTATTTTAAAAGGTACGTGTGTGTTATATTGAATATATATGAAATGATGTGTTTTTGTAAGAAGATAATTGTGTCATTAAAGAAAAATAAATGATTGAGTTTAATTGATTATTTTTCATGATTTTGTTAGATTGTTACAGAGCAGCAAACTGGGCAGAAGATCCAGATTGTGACAGCACTTGATCACAATACCCAAGGCAAGCAGTTCATTCTGACAAATCATGATGGCTCTACTCCAAGCAAAGTCATTCTGGCCAGGCAAGATTCCACTCCAGGAAAAGTTTTCCTTACAACTCCAGATGCAGCAGGTGTCAACCAGTTATTTTTTACCACTCCTGATCTGTCTGCACAACACCTGCAGGTAAATAACTATAGAAGTGTCTTTTCCTCTTATATATATAAAAAGTTTTTTTAATCATAAGCCCTGCCATGAAGACTTTGGATCTACATATATTCAGTAGGAAAAAAATGCATAAAATTATGTGCAACACAGTATCTACAGTGACAGCTCTCTCCTATGAGCTACTGTACTTTCCTCACAGCCATATATTTTGGGGGATTATTTGTTGCATGCAGTAAGATCCACTCTGGCTATTGTAGCCAGGACGATGGGACAGCCTTTAATAAAGGATATAGAGAGCTTGCAGAATTGTTAGGAAGGTTGAAGAAACAGTTCTAGGCCAGGTTTTCAAGAATGACTATTGGAGCATGCTGCAAAACTGGCTTCTAAGAGACCTAGTACTTCTGCATAATTAGGAAATTGTCAACTCAGGAGCAGCTTTTGTAGCTGTATTTTCCAGAACCAAGCTGCCTGTGCTACAAATAGGAAGCTGCCAAATCAAGAAGTTTGGACTATAGCTGCTGGCATCAGCATTGTGCCTCCTTTGTTGTCTTGCACATCTTCATGAAATAGCAAGCAGTGTAGTCATGGTCTCCTGCTTTACTCTGAAATGAAGTAGTATATATTAACATTACATCATTTTAGTTTTTGCTAGAAGAGAAAACTACACATTATTCTTCAAAAACTCAAAAACTTTTATACACCACATGCCTGTGGGGTTACGTCGATGGTTTCACTGCTGGCTGTTATGATCGAATACAAATATAATGTACTCTGAAGTTGCCTTCAGAAACTTTTTGAAGGGGGTCTACTTAAAATTGGGTTCCATCTTTTATGATGAAAAACTCACGAAAGAAAATTCCTCTTTGATTGACAAACCGAATTCATAAAACATGAAATTTTGCCTATATATCCTGATATCATCTGTTCATCCAGTGATATTTGTATTAGTTTTGGAAATAAAGGTAGAAAGTGGATACAGTCACAGATTTATAAGAAATTATTTTATCAACAAGACAGAAGTCACAAAAAAAGTATAACATTATACGTACCTTAATTTCTCTTTCTTAAAGTAGTAGACTTGATTTTTTGAGTCTGGCGCCTTAGACCACTCGGCTATCCTGACACCCTGTAGACTTGATTTTTTAGAATAGTTTTAGATTTTCAGAAAAACTGAGCATATAGAACAGAGTTCTCATATTACTCCCCCATAAATACACACAGTTTCCCCTATTATTAACATTTTACATTCATGATATATTACAATTAATGAGCAATACTTATACAATGTTAACCAAGTTTATAGGTGTTTAGATTTTCCTTAGTTTTTGCCTAATGGCTTTTTTTTGTCCCAGGATCCCATCCAGGATACCTTCCTGCATTGAGTTAACATGTCTCCTTAGGCTTCTCTTGGCTAGGACAGTTTCTCAGACTTTCCTTGTTTTTGATGACCTTGACAGTTGTGTGAGGAGTACTGGCCAGGTATATTGTAGGATGCCCCACTATTGGACTTGGTCTGATGTTTTTCTCAGGAACGTGGGCAAATCCCTTCATCTCTTAATATCTCCTTCCAGACTTAGGAATAATAGATAAAAGATCAGCAGCATTTGTAACAGGTAGGCTATTAAAGAAAAGAGTAATACTTGCCATAGATGCTTTCATAGGACATCTAGTACCAGAAGTTTTTGTTTTGTTTAAGTACTTATTGAAGACTGATTTTTGTGGTGATACAAGAAGAAATGATGCGATATGTTACATAGTAAGGGGCAGTCATTTTAAGAACCATTTAAAGTTGGTAAAATCAGAAGTATTCCTGAAGGAGTTCAAATGCCATACCATTTTTTTAATTGAATTTATTTGTTCACATTTCAAGATTGAAAGAAAATGATGAAAAAGTTGAAAGATAAACCTAAAGGAAGAAACTAGTTTCCTTTTTTTTTTTTTCCTTTAGACGGAGTCTCGCTCTGTCTCCTAGGCCAAAGTGCAGTGGTATAGTCTCGGCTCACTGCAACCTCTGCCTCCAGGGTTCAAGTGATTCCCCTGCCTCAGCCTCCCAAGTAGCTGGGATTAACAGGCACACACCACCACACTTGGCTAATTTTTTGTTTTTTTTTTGTTTGTTTGTTTGTTTTTTTTTTTGAGATGGAGTCTTGCTCTGTCGCCCGGGCTGGAGTGCAGTGGCTGGATCTCAGCTCACTGCAAGCTCCGCCTCCCGGGTTTACGCCATTTTCCTGCCTCAGCCTCCCGAGTAGCTGGGACTACAGGCGCCTGCCACCTCGCCCGGCTATTTTTTTTTAGTAGAGACGGGGTTTCACCGCGTTAGCCAGGATGGTCTCGATCTCCTGACCTCGTGATCCGCCCGTCTCGGCCTCCCAAAGTGCTGGGATTACAGGCTTGAGCCACCGCGCCCGGCCAATTTTCTGTATTTTTAGTAGAGACAGGGTTTCACCACATTGGCCAGGCTGGTCTTGAACTCCTGACCTCAGGTGGTCTGCCTGCCTCAGCCTCCCAAAGTGCTGGGATTACAGGTGTGAGCCACCACACCTGGCCTTTTTTTGTTTTTTAAAGAAGAAACTAGTTTCCTTTGCCAGTATCTTATTAGCTGTGCCTAGTGATGAGCTTTTTAAGTCCATGCTTTTGTATAGCAACCACATCTGCATGATTATAATTACCTCAAGGAAATTTATTTATAGCCCCTTTTCTATTTAAAACGTTCAGAGTTATCTCTTTATGCTATTACAAGCTTATTTTTGTCACGTCATTCCACATGGAAAGGTTCTGAGCTCTTCATAGAGTACAAAGTTTAAAAATAACTTGTGAAAAAGAAAGCAACAAAGCAAGACCAACTGAATGTTCTTTAATTTTTTTAATAGAATGAGTGCTACTGAGTAACAACAGGTTTTTGTTTTGTTTTGTTTTGTTTTTTTAGCTCCTAACAGATAATTCTTCTCCAGACCAGGGACCAAATAAGGTTTTTGATCTTTGCGTAGTGTGTGGAGACAAAGCATCAGGTAACACTAAGAATAACCTCCTGAAAATAAAAAAAGAAAAAAAAATAACCTCCTATATGTGTTGTGTTGTTGAAATAACTACCACACTACCATGTTTCTTCTACTTAAAGTATGTCACTTTTATGGTTAATATTTGTAGCCTATAAAATTTAACTAATTTTTTCCCGAAGTTCTTTTTTTGTGATAGAGTCTCACTGTTGCTCTGGCTGGAATGCAGTGGCGTGATCTCAGCTCACTGCAGCCTCTGCCTCCTGGAGTCAAGCAATTCTCCTGCCTCGGCCTCCCAAGTAGCTGGGGCTACAGGTGTGTGCCAGCACACACGGCTAATTTTTGTATTTTTGTTAGAGATGGGGTTTCACCATGTTGGCCAGGCTCGTCTCAAACTCCTGACCTCAGGTGATCCACCCTCCCCTCCTTGGCCTCTCAAAAGTGCTGGAATTACAGGTGTGAGCCACCATGCCTGGTTCCAAAGCTCTTTATTCACTTATATTTTTTTTTACTTCAGTGCAGTTTTAATTTTGATTTGTAATGAAATAAAATGCATATTTCACTTTTGAAAGTGAATATGTAAAAAAAAAATTTTTTTTTTTTTTGAGATGGAGTCTTGCTATGTTGTCCTGACTGGAATGCAGTGGTGCAATCTTGGCTCACTGCAACCTCTCCCTCATGGGTTCAAGCAATTTTCCTGCCTTGGCCTTCTGGGTAGCTGGGACGACAGGTGTGTGCCACCACGCCCGGCTAATTTTTGTATTTTTAGTAGAGATGGGCTTTCACCATGTTGGCCAGACTGATCTCGAACTCCTGACCTCAAGTGATCCACCTGCTGTGGCCTCCCAAAGTGCTGGGATTACAGGCATGAACCACCATGCCCAGCTGTAGAAAAATGTTTTAATGTGAAAACTAGAAATTTTGGCCAAGGAATCATTTAAAAATGATGACTTCTGATCTTTACTAATATATTACATTAGGCCAGGTGAGATGGCTCATGCCTATAATCCCAGCACTTTGGGAGTGGAGGCAGGAGGATCGCTTGAGGCCAGGAGTTCAAGACTAACCTGGGCAAGATGGCAAGACTGTCTCTACAAAAAAAAAAAAAAATAACAAAACTGGTCAGGTGTGGTGGCACAAGCCTGTAGTTCCAGCTACTTGGGGATATCACTTGAGTCCAGTAGTTCGAGACTGCAGTGAACTGTGATTGCACCATTGCACTTCAGCCTGGGCCACAGAGTGAGATCCTGTCTCTAAAAAAATTACAATAAATAAATAAAAATAACTTCTAAAAATGTTTTTTATGTCAGGAGCTCAAAAATCAGTTTCACCTCATGTTGTTTAAAGGGAAGAAATTGGCTTATTTCATGTCTGTTCTGAAATAATGTGACTTTTATGTTTTCTTAAACATTTTATCTCTAGGACGTCATTATGGAGCAGTAACTTGTGAAGGCTGCAAAGGATTTTTTAAAAGAAGCATCCGAAAAAATTTAGTATATTCATGTCGAGGATCAAAGGATTGTATTATTAATAAGCACCACCGAAACCGCTGTCAATACTGCAGGTTACAGAGATGTATTGCGTTTGGAATGAAGCAAGACTGTATGTATTAGCTTTTAAAGAGAAAATACTTTTTAAAGATTCCAGCAAACTAGAAGAGTATTGAAATTAACAAATTAAAATAGGTCAAATATGTATACTTTTTAGTTTACAGTTTTCCAACTAAAAATATAAGAATACAGACATACGTATGTATTTTTTATTTTTTCAACTAATATTTATTGAATACCTGTGTAAAAAGCACGTATTTGTAGTTTGGCAGCAAGTTTAACTAGCTTAAGATACCAGTTTACTTTTTGATTAAACTACTCAAAGGTGATTAGTAAGATAATGACAATACCTAGTATTGATTGAGCTCGCACTATGCTAGACACTGCACTTAGCATATGTATTAACTTACTCTCACAGCAATTCTCTGCAGTAGGTACCAGGTTACCCATTTTACATTTGGGTAAACAGGTTGAGAAACCTGCTCAAGGTCATACAACTAATATAAGTGGCATAAGCTGGCTTTGAATCCTGGCAGTTTAACAACCTTACTGTACTATCTCCTAAGTGTTATGAGATAAAATTCTTACAAATACTATGTATTATATTTTAGAAAGGAAGACCAAGTAGTTGAATTACTTCTCAAAAATCTCTTGCCCTTTGTTAATAAAAGATCTACCTTAGGCCTTTTTGTTCCTTTCAGTATTTTTTCAATGGATTAAATTTCACTTCATTTTGTTTAAAGCTCTCATATAGGTAGGTAAGTGACTACTAACTTTAGTTCTTTCTTCTTGATGGTGAACTTTTAAAAAAGTTCCTTTTCATTTTTATCACAGGAATGGGGGAGCAGGGAGAGAAAAAAGAATGAGAGATGCAAATTGGTTAGTTTTACTAATCTAAAGCAACTTTGTTGAACTCGCACATGATTTCTAAAGATTGATGGTTATCTTTGGAGTTTAGTATGGTAGCCATGTCTCCTATTAGCAGCATTAGGCTTACCTACAGCTTACATTTATAATTGTCTGTAAATCCTATATTGTGATATAATAGTTTAACACATTTTTGTAGCTGTCCAATGTGAAAGAAAACCCATTGAAGTATCACGAGAAAAATCTTCCAACTGTGCCGCTTCAACAGAAAAAATCTATATCCGAAAGGACCTTCGTAGCCCATTAACTGCAACTCCAACTTTTGTAACAGATAGTGAAACTACAAGGTAAAGTAAAACAGACACTGAGTAGCTGGTCATTTTGTTTTTCTTCCCAATGAAACTCAGGCCAAAATGTGTGCTTATTTGTTACAGGTCGACGGGACTTTTAGATTCAGGAATGTTCGTGAATATTCATCCATCTGGAGTAAAAACTGAGTCAACTGTGCTGATGACATCAGATAAGGTGTGTTTAGTACAATTTAAAGCTTAGATTTTTTAAGCATTTTAAAATGTTTCCTAATCGCTTCCTTTGCTTTGGTAAATTGCTTTATTCTTAAATATTCTACATTACAAGATGCCTTTTTTTTTTTTTTTTTAACGTAAATTAGAAATGTTCAGCCGGGCACGGTGGCTCACACCTGTAATCCCAGCACTTTGGGAGGCCAAGGCACGTGGATCGCTTGAGGTCAGGAGTTCAAGACCAGCCTGACTAACATGGAGAAACCCCGTCTCCACTAAAAATAGAAAAATTAACTGGGTGTGGTGGCACATGCCTGTAATCCCAGCTACTCGGGAGGCTGAGGCAGGAGAATCGCTTGAACCCGGTAGGTGGAGGTTGCGGTGAGCCAAGATGGCACCACTGCACTCCAGCCTGGGCAACAAGAGTGAAATTCTGTCTCAAAAAAAACAAAAAAACAAAAAATCAGAAATGTTCCTAATTTCACTAGGATGATTATCACTTCAACATGAAGGCAACAAACACATACTCTTCCCTCATCTTGAAATATGAGTCCTCAGTAAAAGACATTTATAGGTGTAAAATTCTTAATATTTCTTTTATGTTCCCTTACAGATTTGTTAGTGCCAAAATACATGGTTTTTTTTTTAGTGCCAAAATACTTAACATATTTAAATATTTCAGGTAAAAGGAAATTCTTAGCTCACCTCCATCAAAATACTTACTTGAGTCAAGAGTAGGAATAGGACTGCAAGAGCTCTCCTATCATGTATCCAGGTCATCCAGTTCTCTTAGAGATTGGAGCAGCTCTACGTTAGACCAAGGGTCTAAAGGAAAAACAGTTTGTTTATTTAAATTGAACATGAAGAATTTCTGTATTTGTCAGAAGCCCTTTGGGAGAACAAGAAACAAAAATTTCTCCTGAAAACTCATATCTGAAAACAGATTTTAGGAAGCCTACAATCAGGGTTTCTCTCAGCCTATGATCTGGGTTTTTTGTTTGTTTGGTTTTTAAACAGGGTCCCCTCTGTCACCCAAGTTGGGGGTGCGGTGGTGGCACAGTAATGGCTTGCCACAGCCTCCTCCTCTCAGGCTCCAGTGATCCTCTCACCTCAGCCTCCCAAGAAGCGAGGGCTGCAGGCACATGCCACCGTGCCTGGCTAATTTTTCCTATTTTTGTAGAGACCAAGTCTCATTGTGTTACCCAGCTGGTCTCGAACTCCTGGGCTCAAGTGATCCTCCTACCTCGGCCTTCCACATTGCTGGGGTTATGTGCATGAGCCACTCTGCCTAGCCAGGATCTGATTTTATATAACTTATAAGATTATTTGTCCTACTTAGGCAAGATTCGTTATATATTTGTCACTTGCTGCTTTAAAGTACTCTAAATACTTAGGCTCCGAAATCAAATTTCATCTACCACTTACTAGCTATATAACATTAGGCAAGTTATTTGACCTGTTAGTGCCTCACTTTCTCATCTGTAAAATAAGAGTAATAAGAGTATCTATCTTACAGATTGGGCTTTAGCATGTAATTGCTAGGTGAGGCAGTGGCCTCTTGCCATATGTTTTGGAAAACTTCACTTAGCCCTGTCTACATGATTCAAGGTTAGAATGATAATTGGTTTTATTGACATATTAACTCCTTCAGGAAAGGAAGGGAACTAGATTTCGTTGACAGACTACTCTGCTCAGACACTGTGCTCTCTTGTATATCTCTGTATGAAATTGTTAGGACAACCTTATGGTAAGCTTCTCTGACAAATGACCCCAAAACTCTGAAGTCACAAGATGAAAGTTTTTTATGTTGACTAAGAATCTTTAGGGGCAAAAACTTAAGAATCCAGTTAGATGTGTTGCTAGAGAGAAGAGAATATATAAACTAAGTTTTAGGTGAATATTAAAGCATTTAAAAATTGTAACTAATGTACTTTTTATTCAAATATAAGAAAAATTATTGGGGCATTGCTTAACATTGTGGGCTTTTCTGGGCACAGTGGCTCAAGCCTGTATCCCAGCAACTCGGGAGGCTGAAGTTGAAGAGCTCCTTGAGGCTAGGAATTTGAGACCAACCTGGGAAACATAGCGAGACTCTGTCTCTAAAAACAAAAAAAATTATCCAGACATGGTGTTACATACCTGTAGTCCCAGCTATTTGGGAGGCTGAGGCAGAGGATTACTTGAGCCTAGGAGTTCAAGGCTGCAGTGAGCTATGATCATGCCCCTGTACTCCAGTCTAGGCAATAGAGTGTCTCTAAAAAAAAAAAAAGCATAGACTTTTGCAGTCAGCCAGTCCCACTTCTACTATTTGGGTCATTCTTCTGGTTGGCGATAGAGGAATGATGATTTCTATTTCACAGGGTGGTTATGGAGGTTAAATAAAATGCATGTATGGGTATTAATTATGTAAGAACCTAACTGGTAGGGTTTTCAGTAAATGATTTTTGGACCATAGATTAATTTGGGGAGGGCACAAGAATTGTTTTATTCTACTGATACACCAAAATAAATCTCACAGAAACTGAATAATTGTTATAATAAATGAAACATCATGGGAACATATGTGTTATTTTAGGATTAAGAACACCAAGAAGGGCCGGGCGCGGTGGCTCACGCCTGTAATCCCACACTTTGGGAGGCCAAGGCGGGTGGATCACGAGGTCAGGAGATCAAGACCATCCTGGCTAACACAGTGAAACCCCGTCTTTACTAAAAATGGAAAAAATTAGCCAGGCGTGGTGGCAGGCGCCTGTAGTCCCGGCTACTCGGGAGGCTGAGGCGGGAGAATGGCGTGAACCCGGGAAGCAGAGCTTGCAGTGAGCCAAGATAGCGCCACTGCACTCCAGCCTGGGCGACAGAGTGAGACTCTGTCTCAAAAAAAAGACAGATCGAAAGATCAGTATCTTACCTATATAGAGAGTTTTCAACTCCAGTAACGAAAAAGTGAAGAGAATAATGGGTAACTGATCTATTTCTTTTAATGTTTGTGTTTAACACAGTGCCTTTTAACACATTTAATTAACACAGTGTCTGGCAAAAGTTGGCATCTTAGGAAGTCTGTTCAACAATTCATTTGCCCTTTTTCCCCCCTTCACTAGTATTCTTTATATTCCATACAAGTTTATAGTTTGTATAGTAAGTTTTAGAAATTGTACTCAGGAGGCTGAGGCAGGGAGGATCACTTGAGGCCAGGAGTTCAAGACTAGCCTGGGCAACACAGCAAGACTCCATGTCTAAAAATGAAAAAACGAGCCAGGCATAGCAGTGCATACCTGCAGTCTCAGCTGCTCAGGAGGCCGAGGCAGGAGGATCATGTGAACCCAGAAATTTGAGGATGCAGTGAGCTATGGTCGTGCCACTGTACTCCAGTCTGGGTGACAAAGGGAGACCTTGTCTCTTAAAAAAAAAAGTAACATATACTGCCGGGCGCGGTGGCTCACACCTGTAATCCCAGCACTTTGGGAGGCCGAGGCGGGCAGATCACAAAGTCAGGAGATCGAGACCATCTTAGCCAACATGGTGAAACCCCATCTCTGCTAAAATATAAAAAATTAGCTGGGCGTGGTTACATGTGCCTGTAATCCCAGCTACTTGGGAGGCTGAGGCAGGGGAATCGCTTGAACCCAGGAGGCGGAGGTTGCAGTGAGCTGAGATCATGCCATTGCACTCCAGCCTGGTGACAGAGTGAGACTCCATCTCAAAATATATATACACATATGTATAAACATTTCTTAAGAAATATACCTGATGTTTTTAAATTTGTATTTTCCTCAAGAAATTTCTGAAAGCTCAGAGCCCTTTAACTTTCCAGGTTTCATTTATCATGCTCTTCTTTTTTCTTGGCATATCATAATCTATAATTGGATATTTCAGATTGAAAAAAATACTGATACCAATTCACAGAATTTTAATACCCTTCTTTTTAAAGGCTGAATCATGTCAGGGAGATTTAAGTACATTGGCCAGTGTGGTTACATCATTAGCGAATCTTGGAAAAACTAAAGATCTTTCTCAAAATAGTAATGAAATGTCTATGATTGAAAGCTTAAGCAATGATGATACCTCTTTGTGTGAATTTCAAGAAATGCAGACCAACGGTGATGTTTCAAGGTAAGGTCTCTTTTGATTATCAGTGTCCTTTTGTTTACATGCCTTTCAGTATTTCTTAAAACATTTTTATGTACTATTTATAAAAGTTTCAGAAAACAAATACAGGTTGATTATCCCTTATCTGAAATGCTTTGTTCAGACCAGAAACATTTCAGATTTCAGATTTTGGAATGTTTGCATTACTCTGGGTACCATGCAGGCCTTTCTGACCTTTTCAAAAATATCTTTACGCCACAAAGAAGAGAATATACAAAAATCCACAGTGAGTAATGCACATAGATCTTGGCTCCTTATGGGGAATCAGGGGAACCTGCCATTGGCATGTCTGGCCTGTAGTGGGTGTGCTTGCTTGGGGGAATCTGGGCGTGTGCAGAAAAGATTTATCTCAGCTGGGAGGGTCTTTTTTCCCTTTTGGACCGGGAATAAACTGTTATACACCTGCATTTTTACTGCAACCCATCATGAGAAGTCAGGTGTGAAATTTCCACTTGTGGCATCATGTTGGTGCTCAAAAAGTTTCTGATTTTAGAGCATTTTGGATTTTAGTATTAGGAATCCTTAACCTACATTTCTATTTTCACTTAGAAAAATAAAGGCATAGTAAGTTTTAACTGAAAACTTGCATTCAGTATGACAAGTTATATTCTAAATGACAAAATCAATAAATGAATATTAGAAGATTAAACATGTAGTCTTAAAACTTAGGAATTTTCTTCTTCTAAAGATGGAGATGTGTATGGAGAGTGAAACATTTGTCATTCTCAGCAATCATGTTGATCCTACTCCTCAATTTCTAGTGATGAAAATTAATGTAAAAGATTTAATCAACTACAGTTTTAAGTTACACTTGAAGAAAGTAGTATCAGAATTCTGTTTTTTATTCTGTAAATACTAATGCTTACGATATAGAAACAATTTATTCAGGCTTTTCCTACACTGAGTTTATCATTTAAAATATGAATAAGCTGAACACATTAGTGTATAGGAGGCTGAGGTGGGCAGATCACTTCAGCCTCGGATTTTGAGTCAACCAGCAACTAGACCCCATCTCTAAAGGAAAAAAAAGATACGATAAAAATACACTGAATTGGCCAGGCGTGCTGGCTCACGCCTGTAATCCTACCACTTTGGGAGGCCAAGGTGGGTGGATCACCTGAGTTCAGGAGTTTGAGACCAGCCTGGCCAACATGGTGAAACCCTATCTCTACTAAAAATGAAAAAAATTAGCTGGGTGTGGTGGTGCATGCCTGTAATCCCAGCTACTTGGGAGACTGAGGCAGGAGAATCGCTTGAACCCCGGAGGTAGAGGTTGCAGTGAGCTGAGATCATGCCACTATACTCTAGCCTGGGCGACAGAGCGAGACTCTTTCTCAAACAACAAAATATATATATTGAATAAACTACATTTAAGAGTCACAATAAGTAGTACTTGGTTGAACATGAGATTTCAAGAAACTCTAGGAGGCCTATTGAAAAATATGGGGAACTATTTTGAATATTTAGTAACATTAGTTTGTTATTATTCTAATATCAAATTGTTACAGTTTAGATTTAGCTGTATGACCACACATTTTAAAATACTCTCTGCCCAGGTGCAGTAGCTCATGCCTGTAATCTCAGCACTTTGGGGGGCTCAGGTGGCATGATTGCTGGAGTCCAGGAGTTGGAGACCAGCCTGGGCAACATAGTGAGGCCCAGTTTCTACAGATAATTTAAAAGTTAGCTGAGCATGATGGTGCGCACATGTAGTCCCAGCTACTCGGGAGGTTGAGGTGGAAGGATCGCTTTCTTGAACCCAGGAGTTCAGGATTACAGTGAGCCATGATCATGCCACTGCACTCCAGCCTGGCTGACAGAGGGAGAACGTGTTTCAAAAATAAACATGAGTAAAGTAAAATGTTTTCGGAATTTTTAAATAAAATTTAAGACCTATTGTACTGTGCATAATAAAGTAAACATAAGTTCTTTTCCTTGTTCTAAGTAACTTTTGTATACAAAATAGACTGATAGTCTTGTAGTATCAAAAATATAATGTTTTTTAAAAATAATTCATTAACAAGAATTTTATTTAATTGAGACAGGGTCTTGCTGTGTCAACCAGCCTGGAGTACAGTGGTGTTATCATAGCTCACTGCAGCCCTGCCCTCCTGGGCTCAAGCGATAAAAATATATAACTTTTAAAAGCATATTATTGTATGAAAATATGAAGATGTTTCTCCCCCTTAATTATACAAGATTTTAAAGAGACTTTAGGCCAGGCATGTGGCTCACGCCTGTAATCCCAGCACTTTGGAAGGCTGAGGCGGACATATCACTTGAGTTCTAGACTAGCCTGACCAGTTTTTTTAGGCTTAAATCTTAATTCTAGAATCCTATGTAGAATTGTTATTTTATCGTGGTGTTTGGTCAAGCTCACAGCTTCTGATATCTTCATACAGGGCATTTGACACTCTTGCAAAAGCATTGAATCCAGGAGAGAGCACAGCCTGCCAGAGCTCAGTAGCAGGCATGGAAGGAAGTGTACACCTAATCACTGGAGATTCAAGCATAAATTACACCGAAAAAGAGGGACCACTTCTCAGCGATTCACATGTAGCTTTCAGGGTATTTCTATATGTTTTTTTAAACTTGCATGTTGTATTGCTTGATTTTGATCTACCTTTCAAAAATCAAAGTATGTTTGTTGTGCTTTTGAAGTCAGAAATATTCCTGATAGAATTTCAAAACAGCAGCTAAAACATACTCATCTGGGCCAGGCACAGTGGCTCACACCTGTAATCCCACCACTTTGGGAGGCCCAGGTGGGCAGATCACCTGAGGTCAGGAGTTTGAGACCAGCCTGACCAACATGGAGAAACCCTGTTTCTACTGAAAATACAAAAGTAGCCATGCGTGGTGGCGCATGCCTGTAATCCCAGCTACTCAGGAGGCTGAGGCAGGAGAATTGGTTGAACCTGGGAGGCAGAGGTTGCAGTGAACTGAGATCACGCCATTGCACTCCAGCCTGGGCAACAAGAGCGAAACTCTGTCTCGAAAAAGAAAAAAAACTCATCTGCATATAGAAACAAAAATTTTTTAGGCTTTTCTCTGCTGTTGATTATCAAGATACTGAATAAGCTGGGCATGTTAGTGTGCATCTATGCAGGAGGCTAAAGCCTTATGTAGGTAAGATAATGGCTTAATAAAGCATCCTGTTATTAAGTCAGTTATAATAGCAGTTATTGGGTTTAAATCTATAAATGTTAGCTTTTATAACTTTTCAGCACATTTTATTAAACTTTTAAGTATTGGCATTCATGATGTGTTGAATGGACTGCTTTTGTTCAATGCCTAGCTACTACTATATTGTAAATCAGTAAGACCCAGATAGTTTGTTCTTACCATAGTAATTACAGAGAACTCCATTTGTTATGTATCACCTTAATTAGCTGGCTTCCAGCATTATTATAAGATACCAATTGGCCAGGTGCAGCTGCTCTCACCTGTCATCCCAGTACTTTGGGAGGCTGAGGCCAGAGGATTGCATGAGCCCAGGAGTTGGAGACTAGCCTGGGCAACATGCCAAGACCTCATCTCTATTATAAATAAAAATTACATAATAAAATTTAAAAAGATACACATGTAATATATTTTAACTTTTGGTTGTTAAGTTATACTTTTTAGCCATTTTGGAGAAGGTACATTTATAATTTATTTTGTTCCCATAAATAATTGTGGGTTTTGCCATTACTTTTAAGGCTGCAATTACTTTTTCACCAACCTAACTTTTTATGACAGAAACAATACATGCAGAATACTAGATATAATACATGTAGAAGACTAGAAAATCACTTTCTACCCTTTGATTTGTCATTCAAATAATGCTTGGACAGAGTTATAGCCATGCTCACTGTGGAGATCCTACATTAAGATCCTGTTGTTTTGACTCCTCCATTTTAACCACTCAGCTGTGGATACTGTTAGCAAGATGTATGCAAAGGGATTGAATGCATATAGATTTCACTTAGCAATATATAGTAGTCCTGGAATACCTGAGGGTGACTGCTCATTTTACTATAGATTATAAAATTCCATGGATTTTTTTAAGGAGAATATGTACAGCTATCAAATAAATATGTGTATCAGTAGAAATTATGAGTGCAAAGTAATATTTGTATTTAAAAAATTTGACTTGGTAGAAATAGCCGCAGAGAAACTCTTTGGCTTAAAATAGTGTAATTTGATGTAGTCAATAAAATATATCAGTGAAGCCTATTTTTATGTAAAATTTTACCAAAGATAATTTACATGGAAAAAATTAGAAATGTTTTTTTCTACACTCTACAGGAAAATTTTTTATAAGTGCTATAAGAAAAAGTAATTGGAATAATATTCTAAAAAATTATGGTAAGATTTCTGGACAAGGGTGGAGCAAGGCAAAAGTTGATTTTTTCCCATTGTTCTTTCTTATTCTAGATAAAAGACATTCTTTTGTTTTCTTAGGTTTATGTTCTGCGTTGGATTTAAATGGGAGGAAGGAAGAAATGAGACAGATGTAGGAACAGGCCCCACTATGAGGGAAAAGGACAGAGTGCTCTTTAGAAAGTAGGGGTAGTTTACCTGTTTATTGTTGATGTTAGTCCTCAAAGTTTTTGATTCCTTGAAATGTTTTGGAGAGAAGAATTTGGCAAATTACAACTTTTTTTTCTTCCTAGGATTGGCTTTTGTCATTCCATCTTTGTCTTCCTAAGTATCCTCACAGTCAGCACTATAAATTTTCTTACTCTCCTGAAAAGGACCGCTTCACCTTTCTCGGAGTCTTACTTACAGCCTTGTGAAGTCAAGTATTTTACTTTTCAGTGATTTCCCTGCTTAGCTCCTAGAGTCTGGTAATTTCATGGTTCTCACATTGAAGTTTTCTGGTCATGGGTTTCAAGACCCTACATCTGTAATCAAACAACTCAATCCTCTCTTACTTGCTGAGCTGAATAGCATTTTGTTCCTCTGTTGCATTTCTATGTACACTGTAGTTTGCAGCATATTTTCACGTACACTCTTTCCTTTGGGCCTCACCACATATGTTGAGGTTAGGATTTTTAATTTTTTTTTCTTTCTTTTTGAGATAGGGTCTCACTCTCACCCAGGCTGGAGTGCAGTGGCATAATCACAGCTCACTGCAGCCTTGACCTCCTGGGCTCAAGGGATCCTCCTGCTTCAGCCTTTCATGTTGCTGAGACCATAGGCATGTGCTACCATACCCAGCTAATTTAAAAAATTTTTTTGTAGAGATGGGATCTCACTTTGTTGCCCAGGCTTGTCTCATACTCCTGGCCTCAGGCGATCCTCTCACCTCAGCCTCCCAAAGTGCTGGGATTACAAGCATGACCCACCATACCTGGCAGGGTTAGAATTTTTATTCTCATTTGATGGATGAAGAAAGAGATGTAGAGATTTTTAGTGTCTTGTTCAAAGCAATCTTGATAGTAAGGAGAAGTAGTCTAATAATGAAACTTGAAGTTTTGATTTTGAAAAATCAAGGGCAATAGTAATATTTGAGATTTTTATTGGCCAGGCGTGGTGACTCATGCCTGTAATCCTAGCACTTCGGGAGGCCTATGCGGGCAGATCACCTGAGGTTAGGAGTTGGAGACCAGCCTGGCCAACATGACAAACCCCGTATTTACTAAAAATACAAAAATTAGCCAGGCGCAGTGGTGCATGCTCATAACCCCAGCTACTCAGGAGGCTGAGGCAGAAGAATTGCTTGAACCCGGGAGGCGGAGGTTGCAGTGAGCCAAGATTGCATCGCTGCATTCCAGCCTAAGTGACAGAACGAGACTCCATCTTTAAAAAAAAAAAAAAGAAAGAAAAAGATTTTTATTAAGCTTCATAATTTTTGGTGTGATTTCATGTACTTTGTTTCAATTGATTCTTAAAATCTCCTTAGAAGAATAATCATGGTAGATCATATTCCCATTTTAGAAATTGTATATATACAACAGAAGTGAGGTGGTTTTGGAAATTGCATATACTTATTTCTAAAATTTTATTATCTTCATATTAGAATCAGTCTTTCTGGTCACCCATGTTTGCAACTTTAGAGGAAGTTATTCTCCCTAAGCCTCACTCCATAACTGAATTTTAACCATTCTATTGCTTGAATTTTCTCCCTCCCTTTTCATTTCCTTCACCGTATTTTAGGCCTTTTAAAATTCCTTTCTTGATTTGTTACCCTAATATATTTGCTTCCAGTCTTTCTTTTCCATCTTGTCCTGTGTGCTGGTACCAGCATTACATTTGTTAAAAATCAAATTATGTCACTCCACTACTTACCATCCTTCAGTAGCTTCCCATTGCCCATGTTATGAAATTAAGTCCAGTCTCTATAACTTGACCTTTTAGGGCCCTCCACATTCTGACCCAGCTGCCCATCATTTCTCACACATGCCATTAGCTTTCTTAGCCCTTTCTATAGCTCATTCATTCAGTTTTTATTTTATTCTTCCACTGAGACAGTAGCACTTACTGCTTCCCAGTGAACTCTAAGTAAATAGTTACTGAATAAATATGTAATCTAGGGTCATACTGGTAATTAGGCGAAGTGATTAACGAAAAGTCAGGAGCAGAATCCAGATCTCCTGACTCAAATGCTTTTTTTATATTTGTGTGAAGATGGGGTTTCACTGTGTTGCCCAGGGTGGTCTCAAACTCCTGGCCACAAGCAATGATCTTCCCACCTCAGCCTCCCAAAGTGCTGGGATTATAGGCCTGAGCCACTGTGCTTGTGCTCAGCCTCCAAGGATTTTTTTTTTTTTTTTTTTAAGACCAGCTCTGTAGCCTGGGCTGGAGTGCAGTGGCGTGATCTCGACTCACTGCAGCCTCTGCCTCCCAGACTCAAGCCATCCTCCCACCTCAGCCTCCTGAGTAGGTGGGACTACAGGCATGCACCACCACTCCCAGCTGATTTTTGTATTTTTTTTTTTTTAATACAGACGAGGTTTCATCATGTTGCCCATGCTGGGCTCTGTGTTACTCACGAGCTCCAATGATCCGCCCACCTCGGCCTCCCAAAGTGCTGGGATTGTAAGCTTAAACCATCACACCCGGCCATGCAGTGATTTTTCAAAAGCTATGTCAGCGGAGCGCGCATCTAATAACTTATAAAATAGATTGGTCAGGTTTAGTTCTTGTCAATGCTCTTTAAAAATTCAGCTCAATATATTGAACTTTTCTAATTTGAAAAATGTGTATAATTCGATTTATAAACCTAAAGATCTACAGACATTTTGGGGAAGCTCACTCTCTCTATATGTAGGAATAAATCTTTGTCTTTTCAGTCTCAAAGACTTGTTAAATGGACTATTGTTTCTTCAGCCAGCGTTAGCTTTCTGATTCAGAATACTAGAGTTTTATTGAGCATGTAAAACAGATAGATTATGACACATTTTCTCTCTATAAGTTAACTTAACATGGTGTGTGTAGTAATATTTTAAATAATGAGTCCCTTTAGTGTGTGTTGTAAACTATTTACATTTTATGATTAAAGCAGCAGAAAGTTTTCAGAGTTACCACCACTGTTGTGTAAAGCAAAACCATTATATCCAGTGTTTACACATTACAAGTATTAATATTTAAGTGCAATTTTAAACTATTTTGCAAAGGATTTTTGTTTTGTTTCGTTTTGTTTTTTGAGACAGAGTCTTGCTCTGTCTCCCAGGCTGGAGTACAGTGGCATAATCTTGGCCCAGTGCACCCCTGGGTTCCCCCTATTCTCGGCACTTCAGCCCCCCGAGTAGCTGGGATTACAGGCGCACACCACCATGCCCGGCTAATTTTTTGTATTTTTAGTAGAGATCTGGTTTTACCTTGTTGGCAGGCTGGTCTTGAACTCCTGACCTCAAGCGATCTGCCTGCCCTGGTCTCCCAAAGTGCTGGGATTACAGGCCTGAGCCACCATGCCCATCCCTACAAAGGACTTTTTTGTTGTTGTTTTGCATCTTAGTTGCCCCTTCCCCCAAAACTAGTAAGTTTTGGTAATTCCCTTAGTTTTTCAGACTTTCTTTTTACTCACCTTGGGTAATTCTGAAAAGATATGATATATTGTTTTTTTTAAGATGTGGTCTTGCTCTGTTACCCAGGCTGGAGTTCAGTGGCACAATCCTGGCTCACTGCAGCCGCTACCTCCTGGGCTCAAGGGATCCTTCTGCCTCAGTCTGCTAAGTAACTGGGATTATAGGTGCACACCACCATGCCCAGCTAATTTTTTTATTTTTAGAGATGAGGTCTCACTGTGTTTCCCAGGTTGGTCTCAAAATTCCTAGGTTCAAGCAGCTCTTCCACCTCAGCCTCCCGAGCTGCTGGGATACAGGTGTGAGCCATCACACCTGGCTAAATTTTTAATTTCTTTTTTTGGTAGATATGGGTCTTGCTTGTTATGTTGCCCAGGCTGGTCTTGAACTACCGGCTTCAATCAATCCTCTCACCATGGCCTCCCAAAGTGCTGGAATTACAGGCACGAGCCACTGCGCCCAGCCAAGAATTGTCTTAAATAATTGTATTTTAACTTACTGCTGTGATAAACCTTTCTCAAACATTCTTAAATATGTAAAAAATTTTCTTCTCACTTGCAGAATTTCAACTATTAATTGTCTTTTTCTTTTATTACTTGGTACCAAAATAGGTAAACCATTCTTGGCTAATAATGAACAAAGGCAGGATTTTTTTTTTACATTTTTATCTAACTTTTCTTTGTTTCAAACCTCAAGCCTAAATTTTAGATAGAAGATACCTTTGAGGGGCCAGGTGCGGTATTTTAGCTAGAAGATACCTTTGAGGGGCCAAGTGCGGTGGCTCACACCTGTAATCCCAGCACTTTAGGAGGCCGAGGCAGGCTGATCACCTGAGGTCAGGAGTTTGAGACGAGCCTGGCCAACGTGGTAAAACCCTGTCTCTACTAAAAATACAAAAAAATTAGCTGGGTTGGTGGCACACGCTTGTAGTCTCAGCTACTGGGGAGGCTGAGAAAAGACACTCACTTGAACCCTGGCAGACAGCTGAGATCACGCCACTGCACTCCAGCCTGGGTGACAGAGTGAGACTTCATCTCAAAAAAAAAAAAAGGTACCTTTGAGAATCTGATGAAAGCTATAATAGTCATTCCCTAGAAAAATGAATGTGGGCACATCTACCTACCCCACCCAGAGGTAGCCACTGTTAACTGTGTGACGTGTTTCCTTCTGTACTTTTTAGGTATACATAAATATGTGCTCTTTAACATAAATTGGGTCATCTATTTAATACATACTGTTTTACAGTTTTTTCTACTTAGATGTCTGTGAGATTTTTTGTATGCCATTACATCTCAGTTTATCTTTCCAATTTTAATGCCCACATATGTTCTATAACATGGATTATTCTTTTCTCTAGAGATAGAAATGTGGGTTGTTGCCAGCATTTAATTTCATTGTTAGATGTAGAGCTGCAATGGACATCCTTACACATGCTTTTTTGTGCATGTATGCAAGTATTTTGCTGGAACAGAGATTTAGAAGTGGTACTGCATGTACTTTAACAATTTTGGTAGATAGTAGACTAATTGTTCTCCAAATTACCCCATGCTCGGTAGTGTGTATCCAGTTTTCTGTATCCTCACTATACTTGATACTATTGATCATTTCAGTAATTACAAAGTAGAAAAATTTTCAACAGTGGTCAGACATTTTAAAGAACTGGATCAGCAGTATAAACTGATCACTTGCTAGTAGTATATCTACAGGCATACTTGTAATTTTTAAAATATATTTTTTAAAATTAGGTACCAGTTTGGTTTTTTTGGGGTTTTGTTTGTTTGTTTGTTTTGAGATGGAGTCTCACTCTGTCACCCAGGCTGGAGTGCAGTGGCACGATCTCAGCTCACTGCAACCTCCACCTCCCTGGTTCAAGCGATTCCCCTGCCTCAGCCTCCTGAGTAGCTGGGACTACTCACCACGCATGGCTAAATTTTTTTTGGTATCTTAGTAAAGATGAGGTTTCAACATGTTGGCCAGGATGAGCTTGATCTCTCGACACTGTGATCCGCCCACCTCCGCCTCCCAAAGTGCTGGGATTACAGGCACAAGCCACCATGCCCGGCCTGCCAGTTTTTTTTAAATAGGGAAGTTTCACACAGAATGTGCTCTTTGAAAAACTGAAAGAGCTGGCAGTGCTGAGCCCACAATTCAATATGTTTTCACTGCACTGAATTCAATTCACAGCTGTACCCTTTATCCGGGAATAAATATGCTCTTCCCAGTTGGTACAAGCAAGCCTGTTGCACTCCTTACTCTCCTGGTCTTGTAAGCATTTTAATTTGTTAACCCCTTACCCTAAATGAAAGAAACATTTAGCAGACAGGATTTTTCCTTAAACTGAATTTGTTGTATGCTATCATTAATAGAGAGAAAGAAGGAAAAGAAACACATTGTTAGACCAAGACAGGAAGTAACATAACCAGATAATATCATAGTTGATATTTATTGAGGTTCTGCTTGTCTGAATATTGGCTTGTCAGAAACTATGGGCTACTTATTTATCCTAAGCCCTATTAGCTGTAAATTCTAGTGACTTGGATTATTTCAAGATTAGCTTTTTTCATGAATATATTAGCTCTCATTTGATGTGTTATGTTTACATTCACCTTTTTCAAAGAAATGATAATTTAGAACTTTTCAGTCATAAGATAATTTACCTAAATCCCTGTTCATACTAGCTCACCATGCCTTCTCCTATGCCTGAGTACCTGAATGTGCACTACATTGGGGAGTCTGCCTCCAGACTGCTGTTCTTATCAATGCACTGGGCACTTTCGATTCCTTCTTTCCAGGCGCTAGGGTGAGTGTTTTGAAATCTTGACTATAAATGTGATTTTGTAGCACAAATGTACATTAAACAAAACTTTTACTTTGGGAAGATTTGCATTAAAGGATAAAACAGTATAACATAGCTTCAAGTTGGGTCATTCATATGACAAATCATGGCAGCTAACTAGTATTTTCTTTGTATTTATGTGGAAGAGTATCCATATTTTGTAGTTTGACTAAGTTAAGAATTTGGATGGAACAGAATCAGTAGAATTGATAGATTATGGCTAGCATTTGTAACAGGCCTTTCATTGGCTCATAGATAGAGAGACTGTAAGACTGCCCTAGGTTCTTGTTTTTCTCTCATCACTACTATTTCAGTGTTCATCCCAGGCATGTTACTAAAGGGCTGAATTTTGCCTACAGTGGTTATGTTAAAAGTATAATTGTTTTCCAATCATGCGGTTCAAAGAAAAAAAAAGAAAATGTAAACCCCCATAGTACCACTACAGTGACTTAGAGGGTTAGTCTTACCACTCAAGAGTACATCTGAAGCTGGGCATGGTAACTAACACCTGTAATCCCAGCATTTTGGGGGGTCAAGGCAGGAGGATGGCTTGAGGCCAGGAGTTTAAGACCAGCTTGGGCAACAGAGCGAGAAACAAAATGTTTTAATTAGCTGGGCATGGCGATGCACACTGGTAGTGCCAGCTACTCTAGAGGCTAAGGGGGGGCCAATCACTTGAGCCCAGAAGTTCGAGCCCAGAAGTTCGAGTAAGCCATTATCACATGGCTTACTGCACTCCAGCATGGGACAAAGCTGGACCCTGTCTCTTAAAAAGAAAAAAAAGAGTATATCTATATTCTGTTCTGAAGAAATCAGATGAGCTAGAAAATTGCCTACTGTAAGAAACTCAAGCTTTACCTAAAGTTTGCCAAATTTATTTAAATTGTTTTAAAATAACTGGTGTGTTTAAAGGCAAAACAATGGAAAAAGTTAAGCCCATAGTTAGAAAGTTTTTATTCAAAGTTAGAAAGTTTTTATTCAACTCCTAGGACCCTACTCACCAATATGATTTTGTAAACAATTCGCTTTCACATCCTGTATACCTGTTCTTCTGTTTACCAAGTGGGAATAATAATTGCCCGCCCCTTATCCTTAGAGACTATTTTGAATATAACAAACATGTGAACATGATTGTAAAAGGCATACAGAGAATTGAATAAAGGTATATTTAACATTATAATTTCGTTTATTAATCAGCATTATACTATGCATTAAATCATGCTCAAGATATTATAGTTACATAGACTAAAAGCTTGATTTAGAATGGTTAACCTTTAAAATGATGGTCAGTCCTTTTTTAACATTCAACTTTCAGAATTTCTCTAGTTTTGTGGGGGTTTTTTTGTTTAAGAGATGAGTTCTTCCTCTGTCATTGAGACTGATCTGGAACTCCTGGGCTCAAGTGATCCTCCTGCTTTAGCCTCCCATACAGGCGTGCACCACCGCGCCCAATGTTCAGTGTGTGTGTTTGTAGAAAAAAGGTAATGTAAATATGCATATTGGCAGTTGATTTTTTTATTTAGTTGGGAGTCTTTTTTCTGCTTTGTAATTACTGAAATGATCAATAGTATCAATTATAGTGAGGATACAGAAAACCAAGTACACACTACCGAGGGTGAGGTAATCTGGAGAACAATTAGTCTATTATATACCAAAATTTTAAAATAAGTACTTATACTGGAGTGCAGTAGCATGATCTCGGCTCACTGCAATCTCCACCTCTCAGGTTCAAGCAATTCTTATGCCTCAGCCTCCTGAGTAGCTAGGACTACAGTTGCGCACCTCCAAGCCTAGCTAATTTTTGTATTTTTAGTAGAGATAGGATTTCGCCATGTTGGCCAGGCAGGTCTCAAACTTCTGACCTCAAGTGAGCTGCTCACTTCGGCCTCCCAGAGTGCTGGTGTTATAGGTGTGAGCCACTGTGCCTGGCCAGCAATTGATTAATTTTAAAATATTAAGTGTAGTTCACTCATCTTGTAACTCACATTCATATGTCTAAAAAGTAACCTGGTGACATTTTTCATAATAAGCTATCAGTTATAATAAAACAACAAAAGGGAGGAATTTTGGGGAGTGGTTTGAACTCGTTGAATTATTTACACCACCATTGATCTTAAGTACTTCTATTAAATTGAGTATAATTATCCTATGGAAATAACGCAGATGTTGAAGAAACCAAAAATAAGGCTTCAGGAAGTGTCTGTTTATGAAATAAGTCATTTTTATAGTGGTAGCCACATTTTCCTGTGATCTGTATTGAGAATCAGTTTCAATGTAACAACCACAAGATTCTTTGTAATTAGAATAACTTGATCTAGCAATCAAGGCCATTATGCAAACTCTTATTTTTTATCCCCGTCTAGATGATTCATAGATCTTATTTATGTGTTGACTTAATCATACGGATATAATGATGGAAAAATTCTGTTATATGGAAATAAAAGCTATTCTAAAAGTAGAAACTGGCATTAGGTTGCATTTTTATCTAAAAATATAAAAGTTGGTGACAAAATTCTAATTTTACAGAGAGAAACAGATAAGCAACATTAATCATTTTCCAAAATCAAGATTATTTTGATCACTTACTTTAATTCAAGGCAACAGTAACTTAAATAATTTTACTCAACAGTGCATGGTTAGCAGCTTTGTATTTTACAAGGCTTCTGTATTTTACAAAGGTATTGATTTTCTGTTTTAAGATTTGTAGCTTCAGTACTTAGAGTAATTCAGTTGTGGTTTTAAGTTTTCCCTGCAAAATTTAGGTTAAGTGAATAGTGGTAGATTCCACTGTGGGGTAGTGGAGAGTACTTGTCATGATTTGCCTGGAGTAAGTATGGCAGCAGTCATCTCTACCTAGATCCTTACAATATAACCAAAAGCTCCAAGCCACCACCATTTACCACAGGCAACTTTATTTATTGAATAATGTAATCAGTAGCCTTCCATTAAATGCTAAGCCAGAAAGCTGAATCTTTTACCACTGAAAGATAATGTAATGTTTCCTGTAACTTTGTGGTTTTGAAACCTGTAATTTTTTGGGTTCATTGCAGTATCACTGATACTTTTCCCTGAGGACTGGTGCCTTCAGTATTACCAGATATAAGTGGCTCAAAAGTTATATTCCTTTATGAAAGTAAATAGTATAAACAATTATATAACCTCTAATTGTGAGTCCTATATACGTATTTTAATGAATATTAACAATGTAGGCCAGGCGCAGTGGCTCATACCTATTATCTCAGCACTTCGGGAGGCCAAAGCAGGCAGATCACTTGAGGCCAGGAATTCAAGACCAGCCTGGCCAACATGGCAAAACCCTGTCTCTACTAAAAACTCAAAAATTAGCCAGGCATGGTGACAGCCGCCTGTAATCCCAGCTACGTGGGAGGCTGAGGCAGGAGAATCACTTGAATCCAGGAGATGGAGGTTGTAGTGAGCTGAGATCATGCCACTGCACTCCAGCCTGGGTGACAGAGGGAGACTCCTATGATGTTCACAATGACAAAACTGCCTAATGATGCATTTCCCAGATTAACATAGCCACGTTAAATGAGCAATGCATGCCTATACTAGAACATGACTATAACTAACAAAAGTGGGCAAAATACATATACACTATGCCACAAAAATGCACATTGGTAGTACTGGATCATAATAACAAAACTGGCAACAATCCAAATGTCCTACTAATAAGGAATGAATAAGTGTATAAAACTGAATACTATAATAGCCAAGCATGGAACAAATGGGGAAATTTACCGATGTACTAACATAGGAAGAAACGTTCTATGGATGTAAAAAGCAAAGGGCAAAGAAAGGATGTTAAATAGTGTATGTATTTAATTGTCCTAGTAAATATCTCACGGAAAAATTCTAGTAGGACACCAAACCGTTAATAGTGGGGTTAGTTACCTCCTGGTGAGTGAGGTGTTTACTTTATAATCCTATACTTCCAATTCATTCACTTTAAACATTAAAAAAAAAAGTTAAAAAAACTAACCATGACGGAAGTTAGAGTAAATTCAGTTTCACTTTTACGATTCTAAAGTTTTAAGGAGGAAACGCCTAACCAAAGTAGTTACTATACACAACAGGAAACGGAAAAATAAATGGAGAAAAATCAGAGCTGGCCTTATGCTATGGCATCTTGTACATAAGAAAAGTACCTTGGCATTGTTGGAGAAGTCAGAAAAAAAGGAGTATAGCAAAGGATAAGAATAGCCAAAATTATTACTAAGGAAAAAAAGACACAAGTGGGGCAGATGAGAATAACCTAACCAGAATTATGGTTTCCTAAAAGAAGAAGTGAAAGGACTGTAGAACCAACTA